AAGCAAAAATGGATGTAGAGGCGCGCAAATAGTCTCTTGAAACGGCGTGGCTGCTCTCAGGTTATAGTTAACATAGGTTAAATAGGTAGTTACTGTCATAAGGCGATTCAATGGAAAGACAAACGTGAAACTTCAACGTTTCATGATAGAGTCTGAATTACACAAATAATTTGCGCCTTTATCTACAATCCAGCAAACATGGGAAAATTGGATGTGAAGATTCTGCGATATTTAGCCTCTGAAAACTTTCGTGTTTTGACGGCGGTATGCGTCTCTTAACGTACATCTGTTTGCGAACCTAACCTATGCTTCTCTTTTACAGAAATCTACAAAATCTTTAATAAGCGTTTATAGAACCTGTTTATGCCATTATTGTCTCCCTAATTATAATAGTTGCACATCATTTCTCGTGTTTCAGGTCGAAATGGGTATGAAGAACCACGAGCTTGTACCTGCCTTACTCGTCGCACAAATAGCGAATCTGCGCTACGGCGGAGTTCACAAATTGCTGAAGGAGATGTGCAGGCATAAATTGCTCAGTTACGAACGAGGCAAGCGATGTAAGGCGTTTAAAATTTACGTTTGGCCCTACAGATTGTTAGGAATACACCCGAGACATGCTATCTGACAATAAAATTCCAGATGACGGTTTTCGCCTGACAAACGCCGGTTATGATTATTTAGCCTTGAAAGTCTTGACACAGAGAGGCACAATATGTTCCTTCGGCAATCAGATCGGCGTAGGCAAGGAATCCAACATCTACGTTGTTGCTAATGAAGACGAGACGCCGCTTTGTCTAAAGTTGCACAGGCTGGGTAGAACGTGCTTCCGGAACATCAAGGAAAAACGCGACTATCATCAGCACAGACATTCCGCGTCTTGGTTGTACCTGTCGAGAATCTCCGCGACCAGAGAATTCGCATATATGAAAGCACTTCTGGACAGAGGTTTTCCCGTGCCGAAACCAATTGACTTTAACAGGCATTGCGTTGTTATGGAGCTGGTTGAAGGTGGACCTCTGTACGTTTATCAGTGATACTTTTGTTACTGACTGAATGCCATTTAATTACATGTAATGATGTTATCGTGTTGTCTTTAGATGTAATGTAAATGAAGTCAGCAACGTGGAAGCATTGTACGACGAGCTGATGGACTTGATTGTTAGACTGGCGAATCATGGCGTTATACATGGAGATTTTAACGAATTTAATATAATGATGAAGGATGACGGTAAGCCTGTTATCATTGATTTTCCGCAGATGGTTTCTACGGAGCACGAAAATGCAGAGGCCTACTTCGAAAGAGACGTGACCTGCATTCGTGAGTTCTTTAAGAGACGCTTCGGATATGAGAGCGAGCTGTATCCGAATTTTCAAGATATATCGTAAGTAGTACATATCGGAAGAAACATGTTCTCATTTCTATTGTATATATTTACTGATCTAACGATTGTTAATATTTTACCCATTTTAGACGTGAAGACTCCATAGATGCTGAGGTCAAAGCTAGTGGTTTTGCGAGAAAAATAGACGAGGAAATTGGTGTTTTCTTATCAGAAATCGATATTGAATATAAAGAAGAAAAAGACGATGAGGATATCGAGAGTAGTGAGACCAGTCAGGAGGAAACGTATGAAGATTGCATTGATGATACTGAAGATTTGGAACATCAATTAAATGATTTACAATTCCAAGATCAAATTGCAAATGAAAGACTTGAAGTTCCGACAAGAAACATAGTAATAAATAATGACAATGAACATTCGAAGGAGGTATCTACAGTGCCATGTTCCGACAAGCAAAGTAACCCGGAAAATGAATGTGCAGGAAATAACGAAGACGTCACGGTAGAAAATTTAATAGCCAATGAAGAGCGCAACGATTGCACGTCGTATGGTTTACCATCAAGCACGGTAGATACAGCGACGTATGCTTTTGATGATACACGAAGTATACGGAGTGCTTCAACGGCCGCTACGATCGCGCCAGATGTGATAAAGAAGAGAACAAAATTAGCACTTAACAAACGCGACAAGAACCGAGCGAAGAGGGCACTTGTTAAGGGAGAAGCGAGCGCAGTGACGAGAATACGAAGGGATAATAGGGCTACAATTAAAGAATCGACGGGAATTTGGGGTTGGGAGTAAGGTACAAGTTATGTGAATGTTACAAAGTTATACAAATTGCAACTGATTAAATATTTGGTTCTTTAGATACTGAAGAATCTCAAAGTAAATACAGTATTTTAATATTATTGTTTCCTATGAGATGAGAAATATATTCAATTTTGAAAACGCATTAATTTCTCTTATATATTTATATTATCTTGTCTTCATTACAGTTTTTCGTCTGAACTAAATATCCACTCAGTTTCAAATGTATAATTTTGTAACATTAATTTCACATAATTGTAAAAACTTCCAAGCGAATTAATATATGTATGAACTAATACAAAATAAATAGTTTGCCCATATTACATACAAACTTAATATCCAAGCGTACACATATAATTCTCTGATTCCTTGAATGCTATTTTGCTAATAAAATTGAATACTAATGAGGAACCTCTTGTATCTAGGAGCATTAAGGAGATGACTTAATCTAAACCAAGCAGAGACATTCTAAAGATTCAGATTTTTCTGTCGCGTATTGAGCTCGTCGCAGCTTATCGTCGAAGCTAAAGTTCTCAGATTCTAAGTAAGTTTTTCACAAAAGATCAGACATCTCCAACATTTGTAGACCATGTGTCGCACACATTTTCCGACTCTCTTAACTTTCCCTTTTAGTTCTTCCCAATCCGAGAGCCCAATGACAGACCTCCTGAAACGTCGAACCAATTGGAAGAGAATTTTAAGAAATATCTCTAGAACATAGATCGCGAAGGATTTCCGATCTTTAGAGGCAAGAAGCGGTACAGTTCAGTCTCAAGTGTACAGGCACAAGAGGAGACCTCCAAAGAGGCACAGTCCAGAGAGGAACGGGTATATTTTGCTTCGTCTATTTCGTATCTATCCCATGTTACGTCACACCACCTCGTGGTCATAACGCGACGCGCGTACTGCTGACGCAGGGTCGATTGACGGCAAGGAAAAGTGGAACTGCATGCACGGCACAAATCGATTTGCCAGTTCCGACATATCTTTGCGACGGCATTACGCAACGGTTGGTGGTGCGATCGTTTCGGTTCGACATATTCGCGTCGCGAAGGATGCTCTGCACGATAGCGGTGGTAGTGAAAACAGCCGATAATGAGGCCGCGGCTGATAGCTTCATGTTATACATATGTATACGTGTAATTGCAGAGCGTGTGTATATATAGCAGCGAGTTGTCTCTTGAATGCTGAGTCCCGTCCCGTGCACGTTCTGTGTTTATAAAATTTATCCGGAAGTGACTTGACTCTCCAGGCGCATCACCGCTGAAGATTCATCTGTTTCGGGTGTCCGCAGGAGAGAATCATGGCCAACGACAATCTCACCGCTGTACTGTACGGCATCAACGATCTGCGCCTGGTTAGTACGTGCTGCCAAAGTACGATGACTCTGGCTTTACACGTGTTCAAATCGAACGTGGTGCTTTTATGATCTTATTTCGATCGAGCCGCAAACTTTCGTTTGCTTTGTATTTAACAAATGATGACGAGATTGATCGAGGTTCTCAGAGTGTATTAAAAATTATATTTTATTGAATTATATTTTATCGAGAAATGAAACATTTGCATTGAAATTCTCTACCAATCAGTTCGACGTTTCAGGAGGAGGGTCATTAGACTCTTCGATTGGAAAGAACTAAAAGGGAAAATTGAGAGAGTCGGAAAATCTGCGCGACACATAGTCTATAATGGTTCGAGATATATGATCTTTCGTGAAAAATTTACTCGGAAGTTATTTCTATTTCGTATAATCATTTATTAAATATTATTTATAACAATTTTTGTGATGTTATAGTTTACAGTGATATTTGATTTATGTGGTTTTGTATTTAAATAAAGTCTGTTAAATATACGATTTAAATGTATACATATTTATCTGCGCAAAGTTTCTAAAAGAAATTCAAAAATTTTTTCTCTATTCTATAAATATTTTATATACTTTTGTTAACCACTTTTCTTACAATTTCCCCTTTTTACTTGCATTTAATTATTTTATTTTAAATACATAGGGAAAGCAAAATACGTTATTTAGTATACAATATGATGAATATAAAAGATTATGGATAGCATTTTCATTGGATGTTGTATTGGACAAATTTGGAAAAGCAACATTTGGATTTCTTATTATTCAGATTATTTTTACATTCACATGTGTTGATCCCGATTCGTGAATATAACTGTTGCACACGAGACTGCAGCCGCCTTGCAAATCGATTGCACGTGAGCCTCCATATAAATTAACGGATTGACCTTTAAATTTGTATCATTTGAGCGTCGTGCTAGGCAATTCCTTTTACTGTATTATTTTTATTAGCTACTTCTTCCGTTTGACATTTTTATCTTAAAAAATAATAAGTAAAAAATTTTAATCTGACCACAATTATTCTATACAATTTATTTTCTAAAGTGACAAATTTTTTTTTATTATTACTTGCACAGCTTTCGCAATGCTGAACATATGTTTCTTATGATTAGATATAAATGCGATTTTTCTGTTTTAGGAAAATACGACTATCGAGGAACCAGGGGACGACGGTAAAATATGCTTTTTATTAATTTTTACTAGTTTTTGTCGTTTACGATAAGAAATTGTTACAAAAATGTCTGTAATGTGTACTGTTAACGCGATAAAAAACATATGAATAATATAATTAATATTAATGATACTATCTTCATAAAAAGCAGTTATTCAATTAATCAGCGTTTGCTAGTAATATTGTTTCTTTTATTAGAGGAAAATTATAGAAAAACCTAATGTGAAGTGTCTATATTTGAAATACGAAAGAATTCTTTATTCGATTGCATAAATCGGTATGAATTAATTTACATTGAGTGCTGTTGGTATGTACATACGATGACGCTCGTTGAAGTAATATGTAATGTTGTCCCAGATACGTAGTGATAACTTAAGAAGATTAATTTCAATCTAAAGCTGTTGAATCTCCGCGCGTATATTTGGATCTTAATTAGTCGAAAAGACTCTTTATCTTAAGTTTGGTCTGTCTTTTGATGAACAATAAAGAATTCGTTAAAATTACGAAATATAAGAAAGAAGCAATATAATAATTTGGGGAGCAGAATTAAGTTCATCATATTTGGGTGGAAAAGAAGGGAGAATTTGGAGAAATATATTATTCTTTTCTAGAAGTGCTCTTGGAAATGGGATGCGTAGGAATCTGTGGATCGGATGTTCATTATCTTGTTGACGGCAGAATCGGCGATTTTGTAGTGAAGAAACCAATGATCATCGGCCATGAGTCTTCCGGAACCGTTGCCAAGCTTGGGAAAAATGTCAAGACTTTAAAGGTACTTTATATGTTATGTACTTATTCAAAATTAATTACTTTTTGCCAGCTAATATAATTAATAGATATTAAAATATTCATCTGCATTATTCTTGCATAAAATATGTATATGAAGGAATAAAGGACTAAGAGCCGTGACAGGGTGTTAGTGTCTAAGTATTTTATTCTAAAATTGTGAAAAAATATCGCCTCAGCCAGGGTTTAAACCTTCCACTCGCTAGGCGGGTGTGTCTCAACCAATTCGACCACCGAGGCACATGGCAATATTTATCGCAAACAGTCTAATGTTGATTCCCGAATGCCACCTATCGTGACAGTATTCGAAAACGAGGACAAATCGTCAGTCTTAAAACACAGTACAATCATCCCTACAATGTATCCCCGTCATTACGCTCCCACCCGATTAAATAATTAAATAAAATTAAGAAACGCGTGTTACGTCTGCGTAAATTAACAAATTAATAAAATTCGTATGGCTCAAATGTGATAAACACAAATTTGTTTGTATATGAGATACATTCTTGAATTTCTTAATTTGTTTTTTAGGTCGGCGATCGTGTTGCCATTGAGCCTGGTGTGCCTTGCAGGATGTGCACGTACTGCAAACAGGGACATTACAATCTGTGCAAGGATATCGTGTTTTGCGCGACTCCACCCGTGCACGGCAGCTTAAGGCGTTTCTACAAACATGCAGCCGATTTCTGCTTCAAGTACGCATAATTAATTTAATACAGTTCGTTATTTCGTTTATACACAATTACGTTAAAACAAATGACAGTGTGTAAACAATCATGTAGATGCAAGGTACCTAGGTGGCTCTTCTTTAAATATAAAATAATTTGATAAGACATATAGCAGTTGAAGGATGAAAATTAATTTCTGTATTTGTGATCTTTTGCAATAGATTGCCCGATCACGTGAGTTTAGAGGAAGGAGCGCTTTTAGAGCCATTGTCAGTGGGAGTACACGCTTGCAAACGGGGCGGAATCGGGATCGATTCTGAAGTATTAATTCTAGGTGCTGGCCCGATCGGTTTGGTGACGTTGCTGGTAGCCAAAGCCATGGGCGCGAGCAAAGTGGTTATCACGGGTATGTGTTTAGAAGACTAAATCGTATAAAACTTGAGGCGAAAGAAAGAAATATTTCAATCCGCGGTTTTTAAGTTCTTTTTCATCTTCATTTAATATTTGAAGTTCAGTCACTTCCTCAAAAATTCTCTGCATTTTATTGGATACTGAACTTCTATTGTGTATCAATACAGTATTTTGGCGATTTTTTATTGAAGCAAGAGGAAAACTTGCGATACGGAGCGGAATGTTGCCACTTAACGGAAAATTTCGTAACGATTACGTTTATGGCGCCGCGATAATAAAATTTTTTGACGCTATATTGCAAAACCGTTTGCAAAGTGATAAGTAGATACTGAGTTGTGTAATTGTGAGTTTACGTAATAGCGAATGAGAGGAAAACATCCATATTACGCGTTCGAGATATGGAGCAACGGTGTTGCAATCGATCGCGAGATAAACCTTATCCAGGCTGTATTTAGCATGATAGATGCTACTTGTGGAATGTGGTATCGCCGAGGCCACGCAGTCACAAAGTGTAGTAGTCATATTTCTATTGTACATTTGAGCTACACATGTTCCAAGCTACCTTTTCAAGCGGACCAGCTCTCTTCTAAAATGTATATTTCCTCTTTTGTAGGTGGCACAATGCGTTTCACAAATAGCACAAGTCGTTTCTCGAGAAATTCTAAGTGCAACCTTATAACTGCATGTAAATGAAATGTGAATAGGCGCGATTTATGTTTGTAGATATCGTGGAAAGTAGACTGAACGTGGCGAAGAAACTAGGCGCCGACAGCACGTATCTGGTGCAAAAAAATAGATCGGAGGAGGATATGGTAGCTGACATACATGCGATCTTCGAGGGTGAGCCTAACAGGACGATAGACGCCTCCGGTGCACAAGCCTCAATTCGTTTAGCGATTCTCGTAAGTTACGAAACACATCTTTCTTGAAATTAGATCATACAAGATCAGATTGGCAGCCCACAGAAATTAGATTACAAATCGTATTTGTATCACATTAGGCGACTAAATCCGGTGGAGTCGTGGTATTAGTGGGAATGGGTGCTCCAGAGGTTCAAGTTCCACTAATAAGCGCCCTGATAAGAGAAGTCGACATCAGGGGTGTCTTCCGATACGCGAATGAGTAAGTTCTAATCAGTCAAGGGTAGTACGTTAAATAAAGATACAACTTCGATACTTCGTGCCAAGTTAAATGCCAAGATAATTGCCATAACAAATGAATGATTATGGGGGGAAACAGTCGTGTTTCTAAAAAAATCACGATCAAGACTTCTGTAGTTTTTAGTTGATTTAACTGATGCACTTTATCTTCACAGATGAAGTATCTAAACGGCTAATAGAAGATTAATCTTTGATTTTTTTCTGTTTCGTAGCTACAGTGACGCATTGAGGCTCGTCGCGTCCGGTAAGGTAGACGTGAAGCCGTTGATCACTCATAATTACAAGATAGAGGAGACCAAGCAGGCGTTTGAGACCAGCAGAACTGGAGCAGGCGGAGCTATCAAAGTTATGATCCACTGTAAATAGATGAATCGCAGTTGGAATTCTTTCTATCGAATACAATCATAAACTTCTATAAGAAATACTATACGAAAAGCTTTTATATTGCGACACGTTAAAAGAAAGAAATGTCTGGATATATTTAGATCGACGTGGATATATTGCAATTTGGCAGAATGTTTTAACACCGAGTCTTTCATCACGTTATTTCTTGTAACATTGCGCTATGCAGAATTTACATGCGACATTTTTTAAGCTACATCTATTATAACAAACTCAATTAACCGCATTACCCCGCATCGGTGCATACATAAGATTACTACACATGTGAGTTATTATTGTTCAAAAATATTATATAAATATATATTTTTACTGATAACATATTCCATGTTAATATTATTATATATTTTATTAAACAGATAAAAGATCAGATATTCAATTGATAAAAGTATTTATACTTTTCATTTCCAATTAGATGATTTCTTTATAATTAATACATTAAAACATAATTAGTGCATAACTTTCTCTGTTGAATTTATTACAATACTATTAAACACGTGGTTTAACTGCAATCAGACGGTGCTTTAAATAAATACATTATTATTAAGATTTTGCACACAAACAATAAAATATTTGCTGTTTAAAATTTAAAAAATTACAGTTTCCTGTGGTACATCGTGCATTTTCATTTTACTAATTTAATTTATAGCACAAATGTCTGAAACATTGAATATACAACAAATAAGAAATAGATTATTACGGATTTCATTCTACATAAATTAAATTTAACAAAATATTGTATTACAAGTGTTGCATGTATTGAAAATATATACAAAATATCCATCCGTGCGAACCACAAATTAGTAAGTTTTTTATTCATTCTTTATGCAATTTATCATATATTTTTATAAATGATCATCGTAATTGACGAGTTAGTGTATTTCGATATCCAGTATTTCAATAACTTCTAAGAAACATCTCAAATTGAAAAACATCTCAAATTTCTCCGTTAAATAATAACTCTTGTTGCATAATTCGTAGCATTTTCCACATGCGTTCCTTTCTCGGTCTCTCCGCCTCCGAAAATCGAGCGAAATGTTCATTTCCGCAAAAATCGAAAAGGGCGCGAAACGAGGAGACCAAACTGAAATACCGCGACGTGATTGGCCGGTCGTTTCGCCTCCCACCAATCGCGGACGTCTTGTCGGCGGCGGAGCCGCGGGCGCCGCGGCAGCCATGACACTCGTGGCCGCGTCGCAACATGAACAGTCGCGTTCGTTTCGCTCCGCGTTTCTCGCGTCCGTTACCGCCCACGAGTGAGTGTCGCGCGCCAGAAACGCTCGCGAACATCTTCCGCGCCAGGTACGTACGTGCACGCGTAACTGCCTTGTGGCCGTAATTGATAATTCGTAGCATTTTCCACATTCGTTCCTCTCCCGGTCTCTCCGCCTCCGAAAATCGAGCAAAACCTTCATTTCCCGCGAAAAGCGAAAAGGGCGCGAAACGAGGATACCAAACCGAAACACCGCGACGATTGGCCCGTAGGTTTCACCTCCCGCCAATCGCGGGCGTCTTGTCGGCGGCGGAGCCGCGGCAGCCATGACACTTGTGGCCGCGTCGCAGCATGAGTCGCGTTCGTTTCGCTCCGTGTTTCTCGCGTCCATTACCGCTCACGAGTGAGTGTCGCGCGCCAGAAACGCTCGCGAGCATCTTCCGCGCCGCGTCGGAGTGTCGGACGTTCGTCGCGATGCGGGCGTGGCGCGTACACGACCGGCGTCGCGAATATTCCCGGCTCCCAGGGACGGTCGTTTGGAGACTCGTCCGCGACAGTGACGCGAAGAGGCTGATTATCGTCAGGTATGTGCACGCGTAACTGCTTTGTGGTCGTAATTGATAATTCGTAGCATTTTCCACATTCGTTCCTCTCCCGGTCTCTCCGCCTCCGAAAATCGAGCGAAATCTCCATTTTCCGCGAAAAGCGAAAAGGGCGCGAAACGAGGATACCAAACCGAAATACCGCGACGTGATTGGCCCGTAGGTTTCGCCTCCCGCCAATCGCGGGCGTCTTGTCGGCGGCGGAGCCGCGGCAGCCATGACACTTGTGGCCGCGTCGCAGCATGAGTCGCGTTCGTTTCGCTCCGTGTTTCTCGCGTCCGTTACCGCTCACGAGTGAGTGTCGCGCGCCAGAAACGCTCGCGAGCATCTTCCGCGCCGCGTCGGAGTGTCGGACGTTCGTCGCGATGCGGGCGTCGCGCATACACGACCGGCGTCGCGAATATTCCCGGCTCCCGGGGACGGTCGTTTGGAGGCTCGTCCGCGACAGTGACGCGAAGAGGCTCACTATCATCCAGGTACGTACGTGCACGCGTAACTGCCTGTGGCCGTAATTGATAATTCGTAGCATTTTCCACATTCGTTTCTCTCCCGGTCTCCGTCTCCGAAGATCGAGCGAAATGTCCATTTTCCGCGAAAAGCAAAAAGGGCGCAAAACGAGGATTCCAAACCGAAATACCGCGACGTGATTGGCCCGTCGTTTCGCCTTCTGCCAATCGCGGGCGTCTTGTCGGCGGCGGAGCCGCGGCAGCCACGACACTCGCGCCGCAGCACGAGGAGTTATTTTATGCCTAATTTTGAACAATATACTTTTTACTGGTACGCAAAATTAGGATTTTTATCTTCACTTAAATAGATTTTCAGGAATAGCTAGCAATATCCTTCAACCAGTCGTTCACTGTTGTTCATCATACGTGATTAATCTTTAAATCAATTTATTATTAACTAAAGTGACTGTAAGCAAAGACTACGGCTAACGATAACGCACTCGGCAGTTTACTCGGGTATAAGTAAAGAACTCTGGAATGAATAGGGTGGCATAAATGTAGGTCTGAAGTACGCACTCGGTAATGTAGACGGCTAATAGAAGAAGTCACGCGGTGCTATTGTTAGTGGACAATACTGCAGATGGTTAAAACGATTCTCATCGCCCTGTGCTCGCTATTCAGCGCTAGTACGCGAAGCCACTTAACGTACTTTTGTTCACCAAGGGACATCAGTGTGAATTACCAGTTGATGGCAAACCAAAAGTGTTTTATCCAAGAATATCGACCAGATAGTATGTTGTTATATATTGAAGAACGTATAGAAAATCCGACGTCAGAAAGGATATTCATAAATCTTTTATTTCAAGCGATAAAACATTCCACGTGGCTATCGCCAGTAAAATACATTACACACAAGCGGTTAGCTGCGAGCTCTCTTAGCTTTGATAATGGAACAGCGCGACTCCTTTTATTAGCTCTCCGCGTTACCGAGTGGTGCTCGACGAATATTTGTCCATCCGGTGGGTGAGCGCGCCAACATATAACTTTCATATGTTCCATTTGCGCGTTTCGTTCGTCGTTGGAGAGTAAGAACGGCGAGAAGTTACCGAATAGGTTTTGCCCCCTTTTACATCTTTTTGGCAGCGATAAATCTTGCTTCGTTTCTCGCTTTGTTCAAATTAAAATATACGCTATTCACTCGGTTATCAGACAGACAAGTGTATCCGAGTGGAAATGGCCTTAACAGCTAGTTTCAGATTCGATAAATTCGTAATGAAATCGTACCGAAGGATTACTCCATCGAGATTAAAATTATTACGCGTGTCCCGCAACATTTTTATTTCTACGGTCAAATATACCGGCGAGTCTAAAGCCAACTATTTTTCCTACTGGATTACTTACGAAAGCCAATCAGGATACAGCTTTGAGTCACCTGATCGAAAACTTCTGCATTCTGATTGGCTCTCGTAAGCAATCCAGTAGGAAAAATAGTATCGCGTGCCGTTGGCTGAAATTAAGGCTAAGTTCGCTGTTAATTGATTTAAAATGGATTCTGTAAGAACATGCATCTGTTTTTAAAGCTTAATTAACCCGTGATACAATGGAAATTTTGCTTTTTTATATTACATATTTTACAATTAGACACCGTCAAGTTTTTTACTTGAAGACACGTTGAATCTAGGTGTATTCGATAAAAGTACCCGACGTAACAATAATCTATTAGCACCGTTCATTCATTAACGCCTCCGACAAATTTCTCGTTTAATGACGTATCCAGCAAATTTTTTTCGAAAGTTGCCGTCCGTTCGCAAACGCGGAACATTTTCCCCGTTACAAAGGTTAGCGCGTTGCCGCGAGTATAAAATTTTTCCGCTCTCGCTAAACGAAGAACGGTCGTAATCTCGGATATTCGTTAGCGCGGGAGCGCACCTCGCGCCGCGCGTTACATTATCGGAGACGGCGGATAATTAATTAGAGTGCCGGCGCAAACAGAGCAGGTTCGGCAGGAGGACGACGACGGCACCTCTGCCTACCACCGTTTCGTCCGGAAACTCCGGGCGTACCTTGCCGCGCGCGTCCATGGCGCTCGCCATGGTGCAAATATAATCGAGCAGCATTTCCCACGAGAGCGGGACGGGCGCGCCGGTTGTGCATACGAACGCTCCACCACGCGGACCACGCCGTCGACGTTGGCTCGGTGTTTCCTTGTTGGAAGCAGCCGCGGGCTTCCGAGTTTGCCCGCGCATATTTGCACGGCCGGGATAGAGAGACACGACGGGTATATGCATTTAATCGCTTCGATAACCGATCGCCCGTGTTTGCTCGTCGCTGTTCGCTTTTGAGTCTGTCCAATTGGATTGACTCGCGGAACGGTTCCGTTGTTCCGTTGGTAAGGAGCTTCCAAATCAGTCGTGTGCTTTAGCCGAACTATCCGTGTACCTTTTTATTCGGTCGAGGATTCAGTAGTGTTACAAAAATTTGTGTAAAAAGCCGCTTCTCCGGTTAATTAAGCTCGGCTTTATCCATGCCAATGAAATTCGTTTATCGTTTTACAATCTTGATGCCATTTCAGAATTACATACGATACTTGCGAAAGATCTTGTTTCGTCTAGAACTGGTATATAATTTGTTTACAATTTCTAAATTTTTAGATAAAATATTTTTATCTATTATCTATTATAATAATCTTACAAATTGTAATTGTTCAAAACAATTGGAGTTTCGATATTGGAAGAATCGCCATTATTTGTCATGCGGTTTACGTTTACCTTGCGGTTTTCTTACACGTGCACGTGGCGCTTTACGATATTTTACGTAGGGTTGCATCTAGGCATAAGCGGAAGCGACGGTGTTCTCATATCAATCTTGCGGTCTGGCAGTTGCGAGTCGGCCGAGTATGAAGAGATCCTAACCAGAAACCTTAAAACTGCAAAAGAATACCTGGATAATCGTCATTCAATACTTTACCCGTAAATATATCCTTGTAAGACGCATGTTATTTACCCCTGCAGGATGCATGGGATATCCTGTGAAATGTATTTGCTGCAGTGGCAACAACTCTTTCTATTTCACGCTTTATGTGGTTATTTCTAATTTGTACAATTTCAAATTGCGAGATTAAACATCTTAAATTTCGCAGAAAATAAATATGGAGAATTGATTTCGAGCGAATAGGATTACAGAAATAGATCAAACTTTTTTTAAATATAAAATTCTTTATTGCACAAAATTCATGTACTACAAAAAAAGAGATAAATATACCTTAAAATACTACATTTTACAAAACTTTATGAACTTCAATGACGTGTTAATCTCGGATTTTGAATTGGAATCTTCACATATTCCCATTCTTATTCTATTTGTCTAAAATTCTGATAGCTGAAAATTTTTTGAATAAATTGTTTCCAATCTCACTCTTTACTTCTTTCCAGTATGGTGAATGGTGCGTGTAATAATTAATGTGTGTCTTAAGTGTGATGCATAGAAATAATCATTTACATTAACGGTTCTTGCAATTTTCTTTTACAGATCTCCAAAAA